GGTTGCAGGCAAAGGCCAGGCGGGGTGAGTGGCTGGGAGCCCCTGCCCCCGCCCCGCCCCACCTGGCTTTTGTGTGCGACCACAGGGCTCCCAGCACCAATCACGGCCCCTCCTCCCAGTCGCTCCCCGCCCCCGCCAGGCTTCCGTCTGGCGCCAAACCGGATAATCAGGAAATACCAGACACTGCACGTGTCCAGTATTTTCTGGATTTTTTTACCGGCCAAAGGGCCCAAAAACCAGACTGTCCAGTAGAAAACCAGACACCTGGCAACCCTAGAGTTAACAGGGTGTTCTTGCCAATAGTCTCTTAATGCAGCATAGGGGTTTTCGAGCATTTGAGCATGTGTGATGGCAGCCTCTTGGCTTGCACACTAGACATTGAACTAAAAGGCATGAGCTAATGCCTAGGCTTAGTAGCTGGGCTTGTCTACACTGCCACTTTACTGCTCTGTAATTTTCTCACTCAGGGGTGGGGAAAAAAAATCCACACACCACCAAGCACAGCAACCTACAGCGCTGTACAGCACCAGTGTAAACAGGTTCCCAGTAAAAATACCACATACCTCTGGATACCCAAGCCCACACAAACTCCACTCATATTTGCTGCTCTCTTGCTCTTTCACCTGCCAAATCAATAGACAACACATCTAATATCACTGCATTTTTTGCCTGGGCCTCAAGACCTATTGGTTAATGTGTCTCTGCAGCTGTGTGACTGTATCTTGCACCCTTATCACACAAACAAATAGTGGGTGGAAAGAACAAAGGCTCAAACATGAAAGCTATTTCTTTCTTTGCTCATTTTTAATACTAAAGTTTAAGGTAGCCAGGTTTTCAAGGGTCCTGACTCATACATGCTCTTTATTGTTATTTAAAAAAGCCAACTATGCACTTTAAAAATTCCCAGTTAATCAATATGATTTTTTTTTTAAAACAGCTTACAAGGCCATTTCTGGCACCACTTTCTAGAAGGGGAGTTTCCACGTCTCTTCCCCTTGTTCTTTTTCTACCACCTTCTAAATCTGGAACTCTTTCATTCTTTTTCTTCTTGACCTCCTTCCTACTCACAAGCTCTTTCCTAGGATAGTTCACAAGTCTACTGTAAGAGTGCTGTATGACAGTTATATACCTCTAGAAACTTCAGTGGCTCATTCTACAAGTTATTGTCTGGACAATCTCTACTAAGGGGTTTTTGTGGTACAAAAAGAAAACCCATCCCTGAAAACTACACACTAGAAAAAACACTTGCATTTGTCATCTATGCATGGTATTTGTATAACGCTTTTTAGTTCAAACATCAGTTGGGTAAGCCTCTCATCACACCTGTTTGTAAGTGAGAGGTATACCATGGTACACCCAACAAAATAATTGACTAAAAACTCTTGCAATAGAGCTGCCAATCTAATGCCTTGCACATTGCCTTTTGTATGAACTCCTTAGACCAGTGCTGCACAAACTGTGGCCCATCAGGGCTCTATGTGTAGCCTGAAAGGCATTTTGTTCACCGTTGCCAACATGCAGGGTTGCCAGACTCCACTGATTTCCATCACATCCATTTTTTCCTACCAGTATTACTAATGTGTAGGAAAACCAAATATAGACACCATGTAGATTCAAGCAGGAGGATTTAATATGCACAGCGTAAACCCACCTGCTTGAATCTACACGGTGTCTATATTTCGGTGTTCCTACATAAAGCAACATGCACATTAAGCAAGGGCATATAAAGTGATGTGCCACACAAAACAGTGACTATAAAAGCAGTATATTCCCTTTGCATGCAAAGTGCTGCTACAGTGCAATCAGCTGCCCACACAAATTCAAGGTATGCAGGCACAGTTAACAAAACTACCCTATCCTGTGACACTGTCTTGATTGCAGCAATCTTGTAGTCCACTAAGATGAAGGCTCATGCATCCCACTCACTAGCCTAGGTTGTCCATCGCTGTCTTAGACTCACGTAACATGACCTTCCACAGATCCATGAAACATATATGCTTCAGACTAAGGATTCTGCAGTGCATTCATATTAGAGACAAGATTTAACATCACAGTTTCAGACAATATACCTTGAAAAATATCTTCTATGCCTCATTTGCCCCCAGGGTTATGAGAAATAAGGTTACATTTCACATAACACAAAGTTTGTGCACTTTTGGAATTCTGTTTCACTGACATCTGGATCATTAAACTGAGGCTTGCCCTAGCAATAATGTGTTATATCACTGCTACAGATCTGAGCTCTTTTAGTGACTACCACACCCTATAACAAATACAGGAAACGTAGGCCTTTGTAATGCTGAATGGACAAGTCAGATCATGAATTTCCCAGCATAATATAGCCAGAGCATATTAAGAAAAAGTTATGTTCCTTATTTCATTTAAAATGTAGCTGGCTAATTTGTAATTAGAAAGCATCATTGTTCTCTGCCAAGAGAGGAATGCAAAGCATTAGAAACATTCACTAAAATAAAAGCATGAATTTTATACATATCAGTTTACCAAACTGAAAATATAATATAAGAATATTGGCATGAGGCAGGTATAATATACCCCATACAATTTTTAACATATTTCAGAAGTATCCCATAACAATTCTTTTTCCAGTGCTAATTCTGCGTTCTTTGGCGGGGCTGGCCTTACCATGAGGCGAACTGAGGCGGCTGCCTCAGGTGCCAGACTGTGAGGGGGCGCCACTAGGACCCAGAGTGTAGAAAATTGTGTCTGCTGCTGGTGAACAAGGCATTTTAAGTTGTTAGTTCTCCTTTATTGGGGTAGGTAGCAGAGCAGTACCATGAGAGGAGTAAAACAAGAAGAAGACATAAGTGAGATCTTTTAAAGTTTTGGCCCAAGCAAAGGGTCATGGGGGTGTCTTTTGAACTCCCTGCCTTAGGTGCCAAAATGTTGTAGGCCAGCCCTGTTCCTTGCAGACTTCTAATACTGTCAATGCAAATTGCATATTTTGGGTATTTCTGAAATTTTGATGAAAAAAGTTGACAAAACGTTTTAGTGAACATTTTGAAAAAAAAAATGATCAGCTCTAAGTACCAAAATATGTGGTGGTTTTGTGATACAAATGTTTGCAAAGGACTATCAAAATCAGAGCCTAAGCAGAGCAAAGGGCCTAATTCAACCCTTCCTGACATCTGTGTAGCACAAATTATGTAGCTTATTTTGACTTAAGGGTGCAGTGTAGACACACCCTCAAGATCATAGTAAGAAATCATCATGATACCCTGTCCTTTTCTAAGCTGATGCAAAATCAGCATACTGTTTGTCTCATTCTGGTGGGACTAAACAATTTCTGGTGCCGAAAGACCCAGGACTTCTGCAAGAAAAATACTGCTAGTCACATCTGTGGGATGCATAGGCAGAGTGGGTGGGGAAGATTGTGCAGTGCCTTCCTGGACCATAACATTACCTGGATCTGTCCAGAACTAAGAATCATTTCACTTTTAGGAAAATACTGAGAAGAACTCCCACCTCACCCCTCAATAAAAACAACAGAGCACTCCAATCTATGTAGCAGTATAAGTTGTTTCACTAAGGAAGACAAGTTTACTTTGTGCACTGCACTATCCAGGTAGCAACCTTTTCATTTGTTTTTTTCCTCAAAAGATTTCAACCACAGGGACTCTGCATGCATGTGTGCTTAGTGAATAACTCTTGGATTACGTGTCCCTAAATACTCATTATTATGATGGACTGAAATGATTCTAAATTAGCTGATACACTCTACTGAATCAAAATGAACCTTTGCAGAAAGCCATTAAATTGTGAATTTATACAATGGACCGTGATGGCTACTCCCAAGAAACCTGTAAGATTTAACTGGGAAAAGTGGGCAGTAAAAAGTCCCTAAATATATATTTAAGCAATACATTGTAATTCCTATGCTGTGCCTAGAACAACCTGACCTGTTGTGCATTAGCACTGGCATATCATTATTTATTATGGGGCTTCAGAATCACAGTTTCATAGGGTATGTCTACACTAGAGCACTATTTCGAAATATCTTAGTTTTAAATAGTTATTTCAAAATAGCTTATTTCAAAATAGCACATCTAGACAAAAAATGCATTTTGCGATTTTGAAATGCGCATCCACACTGATAGGATGC